AATGCTGTGACTCCAATCACATTAGAGGATAACTGGTACAGCTGATTAAACTCAATCCAAAAGAAATACACTGATTCAAACCATTGATAGCTCTGAATCGATCTAAGCTAAGAATCTTCGAAGATACACAACTGGATAGATAGATAGGTTTTCTACAAATAAAGGAAATAAAATAATCTGATTACAAGAATGAAATATRAAATACGAAAATAAATAAAAAAGGAATAACTTATCCTACCAGACCGTACGTTTATCTTTTAAGAGAGAAATACGATCCACTCGCATATAACAACATAACGAACTAGACTGTTTTTTGTAACGATAATTCCGCACGCACTACTGACGTCACAAGCAGAGATTTCAACGAAACTTGACCATGCACTTGTTTGTTTTTCGTTACTCACTATCTATCACAGGATAGATAAAGTGAACAGTCTATAGCCAGTCAGATTCAGGATTCGTGATATTACGCTACTAGGTTTATGCTAAATGTTTATAGTTATGTTTTATACATTGTTCTTTGAAGGAATATTATCTCTTTTATCTATGTGATTCCATTTGTTGTACTCTGATGTGTGGCGTGCTGTGCTATGGACTCTTCTTAAATTATCTTGGAGAAACAAGGAAATAGAAAAGAAATGCCACAAATTTCATCGAGAAAAGGCGTGATTTCTTTTGTATTTCCATGTTGGCCTCGCTTCAACGATACTTTTGAGAAGGGGTCATTGAATTAGAGCTTTGAGTTTGACTGTAAAAAGCTTAAGACAAGAGCGTGGGCGTGGCCCCTCCGGGCGTACGCTATCCATCCCATTGTTTACTATTAAATGCCCTAAACCCGGCCTTAACACTGCTTGGACAATGAACTGCTAGACCAAGAGTACGAGGAAAAAATAAGCCAATCAACATTTTAGAAAACTTAAAGGTCTTGGCGAGTCACGTAGGAACCGAACTTTTCACAGTCCTACAAACAAGTTCTTCAAGTGGTGTGGTGTGGTGTGGTGTGCGGGGCTTCATATCGCCGTATAACTATATAATTGACCATTATCAATAAACTATACCCAACCAAAATCACAGGTGTCCTGGTGGTATTACCGTATCRCTCTGGCTCAAGGCTGAACATACTGAGCTTTTCGAAGGAGAAAAAGACACGCCACGATATCCTTGTTAGTAGATCTTGTTAGTAATTTTTTTACGGATGAACATGAATTTTAAAACGTGCTTCTCTTTCGTAAACACAATCTCGTACCCGGAGCCCACGTTCATCTCTGTCAGCACCAAGAAACGGCTCTGGCTGTAGCCGATTTTGAGTTATCTTCTGGTCCTTCAATCTCGTACTGGAAGTTTCAACTACGCATGCCTAAACCACAAGCTAGCCGTTGTTTGGGCTACCTTTGGTCTTCAGGGATTCATATTGCTTCGACCGTTGAACGGTCATAACGTTTTAAACCTTTTTAGCATTGAATATTCTAGTTRAATTATTTGTCCTTTGCCTACTTAAGTTTAATGAAATTACGATCGGCTACCAACTTGCCTCACATTAATTATTGCGAAAATTTTTATAATTTCAATACAAAGATACAATGATCCATTATCGTACCATATTCTAGCAAATATATACTGACCATCCATCCATCAATTTCTTCATTTATCATACGACTACTCATTCTTGTATTTTTTTTCTTTCTTTTAGTACACAAAGCATATTTCGTCCTTTACTCTCATCCAAGTAATGGACATATTACAGTAAATAGTAAAACGTATACTTCAAGCAACACTGGCCATTTCGTAGTTTTAGTCGACTACGCGACAGGTTAGTGAAGAAACTTTTGTTTATTTTTGACAATAAACTTGGACTGGTTCTCCAATGAATGAATAAAGGAAGGAAGGAATGATGGATGGATGTATGTATGGATATATGAATTGGAATTGGAATTGGAATTCATTGCAAACTTAATTTATCCACGGAAGTTATATCAAATAGTTACATAAATTTGCATATATAAAAATCTGGTCTAACCTATAAGCCGTGCATTACGTTACGTGGATGGACAGATGGATGGATAAAAACTTAACTGTAAATAATTGTTTCTAGGCCAAGTAAAGGAAAAAGAGACATTCGATGTTCTTAATGATGTAACTGCTGAAGATCGTTTTACCAGTTTTCTAAATAATACACCAAATGGCACAATCGTCTTGGTAGCTGTTAAAACAAGTAGTAAAGTGACATCCCCGGCACTGGTTGAAGCCTTGAAAAATATCGGAGCACAAGACCCAGCAATATCTTCCAATAATCGTTACATACTTTATGGATATAAAGGCCTCGATAGACGGGACTGGATTGAAGAAATTAAATGGCAGCATAACTCGATCAGCTTGTCAAAAAAGATASCAATATTTGGAGGTGAGCTCGAGTGCATTATACTGCTAAAACCATGCTGAACGATTAACTATACCATGCCGCTGTAATAAATGTTAATCTAAGATCAAACGACAACTCACAGCTTAAAATTAAGATTACTGAAACTTTCTCTTAACCAACAATTCACCATGACAATCTGAAATGCTCATTATAATTCCSAAGTACATGTTATTGCCTTCTTTCTTATTCGTTATTCACATTTAGCTAAAGTTTAATAGTAGCCGGTAAATTGCAATAAACATTCTGGTTTACACTGACAAAGGCACATGATCTGAGTTGCTAAGTGAAACTTGTCTGCAAAACTCTAATGTGTTGTGTCTATTTTTTAAAGTAGCGCTTAATTCTTCTTTCAAAATCTTTTGGAAGCGAAAAACTGCTTTTCAAAAATTAGATGAGCGAAGTAATCTAGGGGAGKGCCATTAAATTTCAGTCTACTCAATCAAAAAAGAGGGCCATCGAATATTTCAAATTACATATAGGGAAGGAACAAGATGTCATCCAACGAATTTCAAGAGGAGGGTCACTCTCTTATGCAGACGGAAGAAAGGGGGGCTAAACATTCCCCTTCCTGAAAAAGAAGAARAATCAGAGAGGGGAATGGATACGTACAACTTACGTATTGATGCAAGTCAATAAGSCATATAATTTTAGAAGAGAAAACTACTAAACTATGTGGAATTGTATTTTTTCACTTCAGCATGGACATCAGAAACTGAAACAGACAATATCGCAATCAACGTAACTTCAKTCAGTGATTTTCTACAAATACAGCTTCCACAAGCAGTATTAATATCTGGGATCATAACSCAAGGAGCTAGCTCTGAACCTGCTTGGGTCACGTCTTATAGAATAGATTACTCGATTGATGGGCAGTTGTGGATGTCAGTGAAAGATGGCTCTGTCGTTACGGTATGATTACTTTTGCTGTAATTTCTAGTAATCTAGCTTTATCAGGCATCATAATAACGAACCAAGTCACATTTGCTTCTTAAAACCAAAGTGTGTGAGGTCACTGAGGATCAAGCTATGCACATTTTCCTTATTAGAAGACAGTACACTATCCAACCACTTCATACTTGCTCCTTAAAACAAGTGTGTGAGGCCACTGGGGATCAAACTATGGACCTCTTGCTTAGCAGGCAACACACTTACCAAMCAAGCCACACTTGCTCCTTAAAACAAGTGTGTGAGGTCACTGAGGATCAATTTCTTGTTCAGCAGGCAGCACACTCATGGCCAGAAATTCTGAATGGTCCTGCGCAGTTGGCATGGGTCACTAGACCTTTTAAAACAAGGTTATGAATAAATACAAAAAATATTTAGGTACTCACAAGTTTTGTAGTTTCTTCTCGATGCTCAAGACGTTAAACGTCTCATGTGCATGTCATTTTGAAAGACACGATATAGAATTATCATATAACTGAAGTTCCGTAAAAATAAATACAATTCTTGATTCAGTTTAAGAACACTTGTCATTTTTAAGACAACACATGACCGCCATTTTGGAAAGTTCACGCAAAAACCTGTGTCCATCGAAGAGTATCTATTGGTTTTGTTTAAAGTAAATTCCTTCGTATATGCATATAATGGAAGAGTTTCCAGTAATTTGATCCTGCGTTTCGCGCAATGCATCTATGGATTGCTAGGGGGCAAACAAAGCAAGTTGTCACAAGAGATGTATGGGGACGATTAATATTTTCCACTAAAATCCGTGATTCGGTGGTRAATATTGCACTTTATCTCTCTAATTTTATCGGATATGAAGTCGAGGAATGTGTATTCATCGAATACGTAATTTGTTTTGTTTGAATAGTGTGATATTACAGTAGGAAAACTCGATTTTCTTGCGTAAGCTAGATCGTGAAAGTACATAGCGACACTTCGACTAATTGTCTCTAGATTTTTGTGCAGATGTTAACAACTTGTGACAACTTGCTTTGTTTGCCCCCTGGCAATCCATAGATGCATTGCGCGAAACGCAGGWTCAAATTACTGGAAACTYTTCCATTCCGACAGTTCAGTGTCTTGTCCACATTTTCTCCAAATACAACTCCAAAAATCAAAAGATTTCCTTCGGTTCTTCAATCCTCAACTTAAMCTATCTTTTCAAAGCCTTTTCAGCTTTCTAACGTAAAATCGGRGGTTCAATTTTTTGGTAAGAAAGGGTCTGGATACGAGAATGGCTATCCATCGTAAAGCACGTTTCAGCCTAATCCTTCTGACAACGCAATTTTTTCACGCCATTTTTTTTGGATATCAATACTTAACTGTTCAAGGCGTTCTTATGGGAGATACCAGCCTGGTTACTAAAAAGAAAAAATCGGGCAAAATTCGCTTTCCAAAAACCTAATGTCCTATTGATCTAAAATCTCAAAGCTCTTGGCTATCCTTCGTATATCAAACAAAYATTAATCCTAAGTGACAATGGACACTGGACGCATTAAAGCTGCTGAAAAAAAACCCCATCATATGAGCATTATATAAGCTATGGAGTAACTCATTTATGAGCTAGCATATCCACCACGGCAAGTCATTAGTCTCTCTACCTCATAATGTTTTCCCTCCGTCCCTATTTCGATAATGCATGGCAATATTTTTTCTGTTAGCACGCTATGCGCTCTCTTATATTTTTCTCTTAGCCATTTTRAAAAAAAAATCAAATCGAGCTAAGTGATTGAGCCAATAAGAATACAGGGATTAAAATATAGTGATTAGCGTTAGTAGCTTTATGSCGTATAAGCTCCTCCCATAGTCATTCGGAATTTCTGACCGTGAACCAACCAAGACACACTGCAATGTTGTTTTATTTTTGTTATCCATACTACCTGAACTTTCACTGGAACTTCCAACTCAAAAGATTTTGATTTTGAATTTCCATACCATAATCACTATGTAAAAATGACGATAAGTTCATTTTCTCATTTGACAGGAATTTACCGGCAATACTGACCAACACACCAAAGTAACRCACACATTTCGACGACCATTTAACGCAAGACTCCTGAAAATCATCCCCTTAAAATTTATAAGCAGAATTATCATGAGGATCTCAGTGTTGCAGATTAATAACGGTAAGAGATCTAGACTTTGTTCSTAATATTTTCCAATTTAAAGCAACATGTCTTTACCTTGTGAAAGACAATCTTTATTGAGCTTCGAAGTTGATAAATAGTGGAATATAACTGGGTATTGGAAAACAACGTCGAAGAAATCAAATCTTGTTCTGCTCATGTCTATGCAATTTCTTTTGCGCGTGCAAAGCTTGATAAAAAGGTGTATTTTGCTTGTCTTTGTGTTGAACCTTTTTCTGATGTTTTCCACAGCACATCCATGGTTAAATCATCAGCCTTGGCCAAACAAGCTTGTAATCCCAGGTAGGTTTTTTAGCTAAACACCAAAACCAAAAATGTGATAATGATGTCCTAAGTAAACTATACACAACAACAAAAACCGCAGCGGTAGAAAAATAGCAGAAATTCCACAGCATATCTTATCGATCACTGAATTAAAGTTAGAAGGGAGAAGTTTAAAACTAGACTGTTAAAGGATTTTCAATTTGAAATTTTGCAAGATAAAAGTACATATTACTAGAAATAAAATAAGCACATAAAAATGGGGGTCCCCTACTTCCCTTAGCCGTCGGAATTAGTGGAATTGCGCGAACAACGTAAGCATTGAAAACTGTCAAACAAATAAGCCATATTTTACTGAAAAAAGTAAATTTACCATCCCCATTTTTCAAAGAACTCTCCCACCTTTCCTTGTCGGCTGCCACAGTCCGCACGGTAGACTAGACATGGTTATTTATTTTTTTGCATCATTTTTGTTTGCCACTTTTGGTTCGCTTATTTGTTCTTTCTTTTTGTTGGTTGTTTTACTGCGACTCAAGCTGGTCCAAAAGCAATGGYCTTTGGCAAAGAAAACTTTAGTTCTTCGATAAAATCATCAGGTAATGACCGTGGGGCAAAGTACAGACCATTATTTGCCGCTCTTCACAACACCGAGACATCAGTATCAAAAGGGTGTTGGTGTCCTGGTGATCTTAATAAWGACTTTCGCGTGAGGATAGAGTTTAAGGAGAAGGTTTTGGTGACCGGTATAGCTATACAAGGTAGCCCTTCAAGTGATGAGTGGACCACAAAGTTTGAATTGAATTACAAAGATGGAGGAYTTGTCTGGTATAAAGAAAAAGGTTCTAAAAAGGTATAGATGTCAATTGCCCTATTTCACTATGACGTCACTGCTTGTTTATGTGAGGGATATAATCGCCAAATCYAATAGAAAATTCAACAAAATTTGCTCCTAGCAAAACAGCTTAATCTAAAATAGCCTGGTTTTCAGATATAATATGTGTTAATATGTACTAAAAACTATTCTGAGCGTTTGCTGGCTATTCTACTTCTCTTCGTTGATTGATACGGGTTTTATTCAATTTTCAGTGAATTTGCATTGACCCCCTCYGACGACCATGATCCTTTGCGTTTAAACAATAGATTGTTTTGATGTGACGTCATGGTGAWATAGGTTAATTCCATGTCTAAATTTCCTTGTGATTTTTTTGTTTTATTTTAACTTAGGTTAAAAAAAATCATTTAGAAAATTAATTTAGAACTTTGGTAAGCTTTACTTTGCTTTTTTACTTTTTATCCTGTATATATCTTTATTATTTCTTCTGAAGAAGGCCGAATGGCCGAATGGCCGAAACGTTAAGTACAATTTTTTGGAACAGTTAGAAGTTGCCTGTTTTCTCTTTTTACTTTTATATACAAGCATATATAATAAATATGTCTTGATTTGGTTTTCTATATTTTTTCAGACTTTCATTGGCAGTCATGATCGACACACTGTAGTCTTTCACTCTCTAAAAGAATTGTTATACACGAAAATCTTAAGGATATATCCCAAGTCATGGCACCAATATCCCTGTTTTAGGTTCGAAGTATATGGATATMCCATGGACACAAGTACGTATTTGTTGTTTTTTTAAGCTAACACTAYAGAACCTGAATCCAATCTAAATATAACTGACTAGCTAAACAAAATATAATAATTTTATTGGATGCTAAAATATCCTCTTAGCTGATCTAAGGCACTACCACATGCATGTCTTCAAAGCATCCAACACGGCATCCACTGGTCAACCAAGACCTAAAGATTGATTTGCTTATTATATCATACTGTAAACATCTTTTTCTCTCTTCGTTTATGTTAATTACTGTACAATACGTCTTTATCTCTTCTCGACCTCAATACTTAAAAAATGCTAATCAAAAATATATTAGCTATCTATCTTGGTCAACTTTTTYATAGTAATTATAGATAGCTTGTATCTGGTTTAAGATAGTATACTGCTTTTTGTAATTTGTAATTCTGATTTATACTACTTAAATCATGTATGTATGTATGCATGTATGTATGTATGTATGAGCAATTTTGAAACTGTGAGTTAGCCGTGCCCCGACTAATTGGWTCGGTCCAGAGGTTGTTTCAGGGTTCAATCTGTGATTACGTTAGCCGTGCCCTGACTTAGATCAGCCCAGACGTTGTTTCAGGGTTCAGTCTGTGAGTTAGTAGTGCCCTGACTTAGATCAGCC